GCGAGGCCACCATTGCCCTACGGATGGCCAACACTGGGACGCGAGATGTGCATTGGGGCTGTGCGCGTGAGAGGCGGTTCTCTAGGACAGCTTCTCCTTTCTTATTTTCCTTTCAGGTTTCTGAGATTCTGCCAAAGATATGGCGTGATAGATAATCAATCTGGAACATACAATCTGCGTGGGGTTTACGCCCTTCATCGTCAATCAGGTGCGAGGGCTGTGTACTGTCTGTGAGCTGCTAGTGTATGACAAATGTAATCGATGGATTTGCAGGCAAAATTGTGCTGCACCATAATTGGCAGCTCCTGCAAGAGGTGCCGCACCCACCCAGCCAGCCCCCGCAAACCCCACGGGATTCAACACCAGCCCTGTTATACACCTTGATCTCCAGCACTCAACAGATTCAAAAACAGATGGCATATACCATGAAGGACAAATATGCCAACAGATGCAGGAAGTTAAGATAAGGGACAGGCGCACATTTTGCTGCACCACAGTCGGCGGCCCCTGCACGAATCCCACGCCCGCCCAGCCACGAGTGTGCCCCCAGTACAGGTGTCCACGCCCAGAGTCAACTCTCGATATCACCCTCAATTTGGCCTCGATATCGCCCCAATTGTGGACATGTCTCAATGGCGCACAACGGCAGGCGGGACGCGGGAGAGAGGAGGCGTTGCGGGAGGCGCATCGTTGATCGCCTCAGCATGTGCCACGTTAGGTGTCCTAGCAAGCGTCGCAGGACGCGTCGCAGCGGCGTCCCTGTGGGCGTCCCAATTGGCGTTCCATTCTGCGTCCTGTTCAGCGTCCATGTGAACATCCCCGTCAGCGTCCCGGTCAGCGTCCGAATAGCGCCCCAGTAAGCGCCCCAGTTGGGACATGCGCTGAGTCGCGTCCCAGTGAGTTCCCGGCAGCGTCCCGGCGGCCTCCCAGCAGGCGTCCCAATTGGGGCGCATGCCGTGGCGCGTCCCAGTGGCGTCCCAGGGCCCGCCCCAGGAATGGCCACTTCCAGCAGTGCGTGGAAAGCCATGCTACATACAGATGCACTGACTTATAGCTTGAAGCAGTCGCAACAATGACAAGCCATTGCTTCAGATCATCTTAGTCGTCTCGCCACATACATACTGACAAATGTTATGTTATGGGTGCAGAAATGTGCTCTCTTCATTGGACGCTGCAGTTTGATTTTATTCAGGATGTTGTGTTATTGGAAGTTTCGAATAAGAGCAGTGTACGTCAAGTTCGCTGTTAGCTGTGTCGGTGCATCACTCAACTGGTAAAATGGCTGAGTAATGGCTGAGTATGGCTGAGTAATGGTTGCTGGCTGAGTAACGTATCACCATAAATCAGCCAGAATTGGCGTGCACTGTCGTTAAGCGCCCGTAGCAGAGAGCAAAATTCGCTGAAAAGCTCATGTGGATGCACCCAGCGCAGACTCGAAACCTCACCACTCTCCATGCCATAAGAACAGAAGGGCACAAAAGTGCCAATTTGGAAGAGCTGACTTCCTGTTGTCAAAATTAAAAGTTTCGAAATGGATAAATCATGAGTTATCATGCCATGGTCATGGCAAAAGAGCTCGAGGAAGCATGGTGAATTGCTTTGAGTGTTTTCTGTCCTAAAGTATACGAAGAACTATAATAATGCAAAAATCTTGATAAATTGCAGAGAATTGAGCCATTGTAAACAAAATGGGATAACTTTATACGAATTTACTATATAGAATGGCCAAATTACTACTAAAATGACAAGATTGTTGGACATTGTCAATTTGCATCGGACCGCACTATTCGGCGCACACATGGCTGGCATGTCCTTGAAGGGGCTATGCATTCTGGCTTCATAATAGTATCAGGCCGCAAGTTGATGGCCCCAGGCATTATGCAAGGAAATGCGTCAATTTGGGCATAGACCACCCATGTGTCATGTGTTGTAGTATGGAACATATGATATGATAGGCTCTGGGTTGCCGCCAATGATGCGGTCTGATACACCAGGGTTTCTCCGCTACTGAATTTGCCAACTGTTGACAATATGACAAGCTTATACTCTGTTACAATGCATCTTTTCCTGAGACTGAAGTTGAAGCCAGAATTTTTAGACAAAGGAGTGATTGGGGGAATTAGCACATTGGTATTTCCTTCATCGGATGCAATGGAATTAAAAGTGACAGGAGATATTGGCATGCGTGCTTCATTCCCACAGATCCAGGTGTCTTGGATGCTTCATATCTGTGCGCACTTGAACCATGGCTGAATCTGATGCATACTGCGACAACGTGGAGAACTGATGGCCTATGGGTTCTTCACCCAGCGCAAGTTCTCTCTTATGCATCGGCGACATTACTAATGCACGCAGTGGCAGTGCACTGTATGATGAATATTTCCTCATGGGTACGCGTAGGACGACCATCAGTCGGGGCACATGCCTGCGGCGGATCTCTCACAGGGGGGTGAGGCGAGTGGATACATATGTGCAAGGCACAGTGCTGCACGGCCCTGCCTATCTACTGCCCACGCCAAGAGACGTCGCTGACTGTGGCCCAACCCCACGTCCTTGGAAGGGTGGTCCGTGACACTGGCGCGTGACCCGGGCTTTATTCAGATCATGAAGAGCCAGTGAGAAGAGGTGGGAATAACTGAAATGAGGGTGGAGAATGAATGGGAAATGGGGTGGAATAGATGTGTGAAACAGGGAGCGGAAAACAGAAAAAGATATTTTCGTTCCCTGGCCTGGGCCGCAAGGCCCATATCAGGATGTGGAATGGACCGTTCCTAGCGAGGACAGGGGTGACAACGGGGCTGGAATTGTGAGGTTTGTTGTTTCTCGGATGGAACCGCAACATGCAGTGCATTATATGATTCACCCCATGCATACTGATGTGTACGCTGTACACACAGCATGTGTACACTGTATGAACACCATGCATCCGCATTGATGTATCCTCTGATGGCATAATGTCCGGCACTGCGGCGCAGTTTCCTTCATGATCGCCCGATTTTGCGAGGCGCAAAGCTGGTGGCGCCACGTATGCCGATGTATCCGCTGTGCACACACCACGTTTACACCGTCCGCACTGGTGCACCCTCCGCTGCCATCGCGTCCGTCGCTACGGAGCAGTTTCATTGCTGAGGGCGCGTTACGCGGCGCACAGTGTGAATCTTCCCTGGAGCTGTACGGCTGATTGGATCCCTGCATTACGCCTAGCTGCTGTCCAACCCCGACCCAAACCTTTCGTCTGGCGCCCACTACAAATTCGTCGCGTGTTCGGTAAGAGTCGCGCAAGCTGTCGGAGTCCCTGGCGCTTTCTGCCTCGCCCCTTCGCCGAGAGCTCGCGCAGCGTCGCGCGAGGCACAGGTGCGTTGGAGTGCCGCAACGCGCATGGCGACTCGCGGTTCATGAAGGCGCTCCAATGGGCTGCAGGCCGGGGAGGTCGCCCCCACCAATGGGCCCACAGTCGGCGATCCATGTCAAGGGCTCCTGCCCTGCCGCAATGACGGGCGAATTGTGCACCATGGCTTGCTCGTTGGAATGCCATGAGGCGCTGGAGCACAGAGGCGTGAACAGGGGCTGGCAGGGCCCGCCGCCCAGGCTCTAGCGCCGGCGACGCTGGGACGCAACCATGCGGCCATCGTCCGCCCATGTGAAGTGCATCGCTGCCTTGACCGCGAGTCCCCGTGGGTGACGCCGCGGCCATGGATGCACTTCCGCTTTACCACGGTTGGACTGTAGGGCGCGGATTACCCAATCAAGCGCCCGGCGGGGGCGTCGCAGAGGATGACCATTTCCGGCTCGCCGAACTCCCTTGGGGGGATGGCGCGGCGCCACGGATGGATCGCGACAGCCGCCCAGCGGGCAGCCATCGAAGATGACCGAAGTCGCCTCGCCTAAATATTTAGGCATGACATTAATGTCTCGCATCGCCCCAGGCCCAACGTCTACGGCTCGTGGAGCGGTGCCCGTGGTGCACTGGTCGAATCCTAAAACGACGGTAACAGCTGCGGCAGCGCTGATATCATCGCTCCCCGGGAGGACCCCGAGGCGTCGGCATGGCGAGGCGCGCTGCCGCTGCCCCACTGATGGCTGCCGCAGTCCTGTGTCTCCTGAGCGCCGCCGCGCGGCCTTCCTCGGCAGCTAGGTGAGTGGCGAGCGCACGTCGAACGCAGAGTCCCGCGCTCCCGCGTGCGATTTGGGGCCTGTCGCATCGCGCCCGCATTTGTCACATGAATGGCCGCCCATCAATCTCGTCTTGAGAATCTTTGATGGGTGGAAGGGTACTTAGGGGGTTGTGCGACCTGGCAGGGTGTTACCGGTAGAGCAGAGGGACATCTCGACAGAGGTACCCGGTTTGATCCCTGTCAGGCATCCCCTTTACCATCCGCACTATAACATAACATTCTTATGGTCTGGCATCTCTGATTGGACACGATGGCGACTTCCGGTGCAGTTCCATCCGGCTAGACTAGGAGACTGGGGCGGCAGCTAGTTCCGGTGGTTGAATGCCAACCCGGATAACGCGCTGCTGTCGTTATGCATATACGGATATGTAGTTATTGTTATTGTTATGCAGTGTTCTGTACCTTGGCGTCGTTCCTGTTGCAGATTTTCTGCCATTCTTCGGATCGCCGCCGACGCAGTCCCTCAGTTGCGTACAGAAGGTGAGATCTGGTTGCCTGGTGGAAACGCATTCAGTTCAGATGAGTACGCGGTGAGAATGCCTGACCAAAAGCAACATGATGCACTAAAAAGTTGACGAATTGAATTGGTGCGTTGGAATCAGCAAGCAACGTTCAGTTCACGTGTCGGAAGATGTAGAGAGCACACGCCCTGAAAGGCTTTTTACACACAATATCCAAGCGTAATATGTCGACACATGTTTGATAATGTTCATGCACGTTTACTCGCTGAATCCTGGACATGGAGCCTTCCGATCAAGAAAATGTAGGACACATTCAGCTCTGCCATTGGACTGACTGAGCGTTTTGAGTGTTGGCAAAACAGGCATGCCTGCCAGTCGAGAGTTGCTTCAGTCTGACGTAGATGAGGTGAGCTCCGACAAGACAACCAGAAATGCACCAGGACAGTCCCTGAAATAGCAGAAATATAATAACAGAAGGAAATCTCCCGCTGAGAAGGCGCTGGACCCTGAGCACGAAGTCTGATGTGTGGAAACTAACTATTTTGTTTTTTGGGGTTGGGGGGGCGGGAGATGAATTCGAAGGAAAATCTCAACAGCGCATTGTTTCCAAACCTTCGATAGCATATCTATCTGATCAATTGGTTGGAAGCAACGGGAACTGTACTTGAGTTTGTCCACTTTGAGTAGGATTCTTGCGGCCCTCCTAAACGGCATGATTGCTTCTCCCCTTGGTATGGAGCAGAAGCTTTGGGATGCCGCCTCCGAGGGAGACGCAGCCGGTGCGAAGGAAGCTCTTGAGGCAGGCGCCGACATTGAAATACGGATGGGCGACTTCAACGAGACGGCCCTGGGGGCTGCCTGCTGGGAAGGACACGCCGATGTTGTAGATGTGCTTATCGAGGCGGGAGCCGACGTCAATGCCCGGAGCGACTACGGTGGCACACCACTGAAGTACGCTGTGATCAGCGGCGAGCTGGCCATTGTGCATGCGTTGCTCAAAGCTGGCGCCAGCACGGACGGGGTGGCAGCCGGGAATGGTGCTGGGATTCTGTTCAGGGTGATGACGGAAGGCAGCCACGAGGTCGCCCAGGAGCTGGTAAGCTGTCAGAGAGATCAGATGTAACTCCCGAGAATGAATCTGTTAAAGGAAGCGGAAAGTTTTGAGAGGAAATTTCGCACAGCTGTGAATGAATTGCCGCCCACATTTAAAGGCGATGATCATTGCCCCGTTGGAAGCTCTTGGCCGCTTTCAGAACTGCGTCCTAAAAACCTAAAAAGTGTAGTCAATAATGTAGAACGATTGCTCACTCTTGTAAGCTCAGTCCTTTCATTGCTCGTATTGTAAATGAGTACACCCGCAACGCATGGATGCATTTACATTTGGGCATATATGTGTTTGACTATGTTTCCTTGAACAGCGCGTCTGTACGTAGCTCCCATTGTCTAATCGTGGACAATGAAATCGCAGATCGCGGAGGGGCAAAGTGTGGAAGGGCTTTCCGGAGTAACGGAAACGCCACTTTTACTAGCCGCTAAATTTAGCCATGCCCCCATCGTGGCTGCGCTGCTGGACGCGGGCGCCCGTCCCGACCAGAAAGATGAATTCGGTGCCACTCCGCTGCATTTTGCCTCCAACATCGGTGGCCCCGACAGCAACAACATTACACGGGCACTACTCGAAGCGGGCGCGGATGTCGACGTGAGCGACAACCGTGGACGCACGCCTGTCTTTTATGCCGCGGAGTTCGGGAACGTGGGGGTGATGAAAATTTTGCTGGCGGCGGGGGCGGACCCTTCGTTGAAGGATGACGACGGCGAGACGTTGGAATCGCTCGCCTGCCTGTGCTCGAGGTCGGTGCAGTACAATTTTTGTGCTGACGATGGCTGCGTCGATGGAGACACGAAGGCTGTGATACACAGTCTTCTTGAGGGAGGTGAGCCACCGCCACTTGTCTTTAGTTTGCGCTTCGAATTAGATGTAGACAGACTGTCAGTCTGACTGAATGTCAGGCTGCGCGTTGTCACACGTTCAAATGGGGATCGGAACAGGCTGTGGAGCCACACGCCGCAGCTGTCAGGGCAGTTTTGCAGAAGTTAGTCATTACACTTACTCCAGTCTCTGCTATGATACAATTTTTTGTCAAAAATTTTGCCTCACAAAAAGCGATGCACGTGTTCACCCTACCCGGAGGCCCGGTTGACAGCGATATGCGTGTGCCTGTGTCTATTGCAGAACTGCAAGCAGCTGGTGCCAATAAGGTAGGGCGCGAAACAGAATCCAGCAGAGATCTCTCAGAGGTTTGTGGCCACAGATAAGGTAGCGTTGCATACGAGTTATGAAAAGGACACAAGATCATTCCCGGATGATCCATGGAAGGAAGAATGCTGGGGCGCATTTGTGATGAATACATAACAACGAAGAATGCATAGGACGTATCTAGTATTCTCTGATGCATTCCTCAATGACAGTTTCTCCACAGTAAGATTAACTAAGCGCTGAATCACTGGATGCATTCTTTACCCTGCACCGAATAGACCACTGTCTATTTAGTATCGAATCATTTGCAGGTAAATTGTACGCCGCATTACCAGAAGCCATGCTGAACGCATACCCATTTCATGTACACAACATGACTGGTATGCTGTATTTGTTCACTTAGAGTACATTCCCTGGAACACAGCACCATCGTCTCAAAAATGCAAGAACTGAAACTCTGTCGCAAGTGGGATTGCTAGTTGTTTAATAGGGTATGCTGCAAAGCCACATAGCAAAACGCAGTGGCGGACTTGAAATAGGAAATATTGGAGACGCAAACCCCCTCTGCGTCAGACAGATACTGGCAATGGAATGTGCACTGAATTCATGATTTGATTCTTTGGAAAGAAACTATGGAAAGCCGCGAAGAAAGGGAACGCGACGAAGGTGAAGAATGCGCTGGACGAGGGCGCCAACATCGAGTTCAGGTGGGGTGCGTTTAAAGAGACGCCTCTCGGGGTCGCCAGCTCCCATGGCCGCACAGAGGTGGTGGAAGTGCTCATCGATGCAGGAGCCGATGTGGAGGGGGCGGACAAGGATGGAATTCCGCCGCTCACCGCCGCTGTTTTCAGCGGTGAGGTGGGCGTCGTGCAGACGCTGCTGACAGCCGGCGCCAGCACAGGGAGACTGCCAGCAGGCAGCGGGTTCCTAATCCCGCTGATAGAACATCTCACCCAATATTCCCTGGGCAACGACTCAAGGGCCCACTCACTGGTGACCCCGGCATCTGCTGGCCTGTATGGCATCTTCGGCGTCATTGAGACGCCCCTCATCCTGGCTTCTGCTCTGGGCGACTTGCCCATAGCGGAGGCCCTGCTGCAGGCCGGCGCCATCCCCGACGAGAGGGACTCCTTCAACGACACGGCGCTGCACTGGGCGCCATTGTGGTCGGGGCCGGACAGCCAGGACGTTGCCAAGGTGCTTCTGACGGAAGGGGCATCCGTCGACGCGACGGGGTACCATGGGGCCACCCCCCTTCACGTGGCGGCGGAGTTTGGGAACGTGGGGGTGGCGAGGGCGTTGGTGGAGGCTGGGGCGAACACGTCGCTGGAAAACGACCACGGAGACACTGCCGAGGATGTGGTGTGCCTGTGCGCGAGGTCCAAGGTGGGCTCTTACTGTACAAAGGCCTGTGCGGAGGGAGGGGCGAGAAAGGAGATCGAGCAGCTTCTGTCGGGATGAGGTCGCCTACCAGGAGTGTGCGGACAAACCCGCAGCGGGATTTTAGTACTGTGGACCGAGGGAGTGGAACGTCCGTCAAGTGCTTGCTGCTGCCTGGCGAAACCTGGAGTAATGTGTGAGATCGAAGGGTTTGACGTTTGGGCGACTGAGCACAGCTGGCCCCTATCGAATTGCAGCACCATTTTACTCGTGTTTGTCAATTGTGGTATATTTTCTTGATGAAGATGAGGATGTTGAATTGGTGGATGGATTATTGAGGGGGAAGAAGTGCGTCGAGTTTCCGGGAGAGGAAAGTCAGTCGGGACATGTGGAGATGTCCGCGATCCGGATCTCTCACAATTTGACTGAAAATCGACTTAGCGTATAACGTGTTCGATCTGATGTCGGACTTTTTTTAAATAGAGCACATTGTGCGCCGATCAATGATCATCATCTCTGGAATAGACATATCGCACGGAACTGCACTTGTTTCGTCATTTATATCCTGATTGCTGACATAATGTGCAGTCTATTGTAGATACATAAACATTCCATGATTGTTGACAATGTTGCATTATTGGGATCCCCAATTGGGGTTGATTAAAATACGGAGGCTGGCTGGGTACTACATTACGAAGCCGTCAGAACTTGCCGTGGACTGCCGCTGAGTGTATAACAAAAGCGATAAATAGGGTCTGAGAACGACCATGTGGGTGCAGTTAGCACAGGCGCAAAAATGGACAGCTCCCTATGGCATAAGAAGGTAGGGGAAACAAGGCGACAATTGAAGGAAAAATTTGCTGCCGTAACTCTCGACTTTCTCTTAAATGGATAAATGATGGTTATTGGTGGTATAAACATGGATCCGCAATAGCTTAGAGCTTGATTTTAGTTTTGTGTCCGGTGGGTTCAGGTGTTTGTTGATGGGGAAAAAACTGATCACTGTTATTGTCTCAGTTGGTATTGAACTCCTTTTGATTCCGAGGGTGAAGTTTGCAAGGATGAAATTAAATATTCTTGTGACCTAAGAGGAAGGCGATCTTCAGAAAGAGAACTTAAGATGGACTCGGGCATTTTAAGGCAACGACTTACCAGCCATGGGGCAGCTACACTGGGTGGCCTTTTAAGACAATGGACATACAAGTTGATAAGCAAAATTTTCCTGCGTTCATCTGTAACGTGGCTGCTTGGGGTTAGTCGCTATTGGCAGTTTTGGTTATGAAAATTAGTAGACTATATAAATGTACCCTTTGTTGAGCTTATTTAAGGCTTTCTAATGTCTCTAGGCTTTTGAAACGCCCGAATCCGCTGAGAATGGACAAAGTTATGGCCCTGTGAAATTGTAGTACTTTGGGTTTTAGATGGAGGGGGCTAGTACTAAACGCGTTGGGGAAACGGGTCGGTCGTGGGTGAATGGGGGATGGCGGCAGTGTCCATGGACGTGCACTTATATTGTTTTGTCATGATGTGACTATGATGAACCTTCAATCAGGCATCGCAAATGCAATACGTGCATGCGCATGTTGTGAATTTGTGTAACCTTTTTTGGCCCACTCTCTTGGCCTCCTGCAAGCCAGCGAACTACCGTGCCGCTGCACTACAACCTCTTGCCAGCAACAAGCCCCAGGGGTCGATCCCTGTCGAGCATTGGGCCTATTGCGCGGCCATCTAATCGACTGCCCCGGATATGCCCACCGTCTAAGGCGAAGAGGCTGGCCAACCTCTAACGGCCGTGCGGCAGGGTAGGGCGACCCCAACGCCTCCGGAAACCAGCTGCCGCCAACGGGGCCGCGGCATTGTCCCTTGATGCATCTAGATGTGCTAAGTGCTTGATTTAAGTCTATACAATTTAATATTTTTTATTATATGCTGATAAACTATGTCTAACTTTGATGCGCACTGTGACAACATAGAGCATGGAGGGGCCATTAATCTTGCTTATGGTGCGTACTGATCCCTCATGCATCGGTGGCAATACAGCTGCGCGCATTGACAACGTCTTGTACATTGGACATTGCCTCATAGTTGAGGACGCCTGTGACATCCATCAGCCAAGGCACATGCATGCCATACGAGCCCCATGGATTTATGATATGGGTCCTGAGGCTTGTAGATACATATATGCAACGCACAGTGCCGCAACCACCTGGCTGTTTCCTACCTACACAACATAATAGATGTTGCCTATGACCCAGCCCCATGCCCTTGGAACGATGATGCATGGCATTTAGATCAAAGACACCACTGAGCAGAAGTGAGGTAGACTGACATAGGAATGTAGTATGAATGGGGAATGGGACAGAAAATTTATGACGTCAGAACGGGACCTGTTCTTGGTAGTTCCCATTATTGGGTCCAATGTCCCGTGTCAGCGTCAATAATCTCCCGTTATTAGCAAAGAGGAACGGTTTCATTATCAAGATGGAACGTTGCAGGGGTCTCTAAAGCTGGAGGATGGAGATACTGTCTGCGATTTAACATTATGGGAGCATTTGCATCCTTAAACATCCGGTAATTCACGTGCATATTGTGCTTTCAAATGGACATTACCTAAATTTGCTTGTAACACTGAAACTGTCGGTTTGTTAGCTTGGAGACAGCTTGATGGTGTCCGCCAATGAGCGGAAGCTGGTAGCATCCCCCGTTCACGTTGGCTATCCAGAATGAGCACACATGCCGCTGAATGCGGCCGGGAGGAGAGGCATGTAGCCAGATTGGATGCCATGGGCTACCATTTGAATGGCCATACAGCTGGAAAGTATACATTTTTGAAGCATGATTTCGGATCCTTGCAACGCTGATGACATCTATTCATAGCTCTATAACCCGAAGACCAAATTCGCAAAAGCTCCTCCCCGGGGGGCTTTCACAAGGCCACAAAAACAAGAGGGTTTCAGATCTTCTCCGCAGCGGCCGCCATGTTTGGCACCCGCTCTTGTACCTCACGGGGAGAATGTATAGCCAACCATGTGTGATAATTGAGGCATTCAGGGGTAGCCACAATTGAACCGCAAGGGCCATCAGCTGTGTGAGTGGGAGACAGCAATCGCCTCCAGTTCGCTTTGATATTTGGTGACAAGTTTGGAACTTGAGCCAGCGCTTTATGCGCCGTGTGGTTGGCCTCTGCAGCCCCTGGAGTCACCCCTCGTGGCTGCTAATTGTGGCCAAAGGCGCCAATCAGTACAGTTATTTAGTTTTGTAGCACCATTTGACATGTGCGTTTTCATGCGTTAATAGGCTTAACCCCAGAAACAGCTGAATTTAATTAGTTACGATCACTAGCACAAAAGAACCATAAAACTTTTGCGAGCACACATATATGCATTTAGCCAGTGTTTTGCATGCTAATAGCACGGAAATAGCCCAGACGCGTGAAATTTGCACACGTTTGAACACGCGTTGTTTGGCCCTTTTTGCCCCAGTGGATATAGTGACGTGTTCTTGGCGAGTTTTGAAACAACAGGTTACATGATGAAGCATCAAACAATAAACAGTGCCCCTCTCACTCGAGCACCCGCAACGCGGCACCTACCTCGTTCTCCAGGAAGGGCAACGACATCGTTGAACAAAAGGTCGTCTTCTTCCCATTTGGGCGCGCCCGGCTGCTATGTTCCGAGCCCTTGAGTATGCACCTACTGTCTTTATGTACACGGGTCCTGTATTCACGTAGTTTATCGCGGATTTTAGAAAACCGTGAAGTATTTCCTACAAGCAAATGCGAAAATACACACTGTGTTCACATCGCAGATAACGAATCTGTTCGTGAGCAGTGCTTGCCAGCATCCGCACTGGAGAACTTCAGTTCATCCGTCCGCGAACTCGTTGATTGCCATCACCAGTAGAAAAAGCCTGCTTGAGATGCCAGCTGCGATGCCATTTGACACGAATTGATGCCGTCGCAGCCCCTTTTATACCATCGCAAGCACTGTGACGGCACCGCTTTGTGTCAAAATGGCGCCGCAGCTGGCATCGCAAACATGCCGCTTTCTACTAATGCATTGGGCCCGCCCGCAAATTATTGAAAGTAGACAGCTTCGCCCATGTGTATCCAAGAATTAACCAATTTACGGACGCCATTCGCAGATGGTTCATTCATTTCCACAGTCGCGGACGGACGCAGAGGCCCTCAAGACGGTGTGCACCTTCCCCAGATCTGGGGAAAGTGTACGGTTCTACATCCGCTCCAACCTTTTGTGTATTGTCAAGATATCGTTATGTTATTTTCCACCGTGTTCCTGGCCCATGGGCCCCGTTCCCACCCAATACTGACTTTGTTCCTGTCCTCTAATCTGATACATGTACCAATGAGAAATTTATGATGCCCCAGTTACCGCACACACTAGCAAGCATCTCAGGTGTCCTACCAAGGCTGAGGCCCATTCGCACGTAAGGCAAAGTTCCCACCCTTGAGAGCACCGTACAGGGACCCCCGCCCTGGCCAACCCCTGGCGGCGACTGCAACCGTTTGGAAATGGGAGGAGGCACGCGAGAGGCGCGAGGAGGCAAGAAGGAGGCGAGAGGCACCGAGAGGCGTTGCAACGGGCCCCAAAATCCCCCGGCACGCAAAATTGAGCGCTCGTTACACTGGACCAGTCGAAGTCGGGCATGCTATTGCATCCCAAGATGGTGTCCCTGAACTGCTTTGATATTGCCTTTTTTTTCGACAACGACATTAACCCTTGTTGAAGACGAGATGGACACTGTGCTGATAGCGCTCGGGAGGCCGAGAACTGATAATTGTTTGGGACATATACATGCAAGCTGCACGTGCCAACGAGCAGTAACAATGAGCAAATATGGGCATAAATGACCATTTCTCTATTAGCGCTTTTTTGCGCGCAAAAACGTAAAACATAAAAGTGACGCCGTAAACGCAAATGACAAGCTGATACACTGTATGCACTGGTGTGGCCTCTGCCGGCACAACGCCCGACGCTGCGACGCAGTCTCTCTGATAAGGTCACGGTTCGCGGTGCACAGCGTTCAGTCGCCCCATGTATACCGATGTATACACTTTACGGGCGAATCCACCGGTGTATCCTCTGCTGGCATTGCGTTCGACGCTGCAGCGCAGTTTCTTTGGTGGTTGTTCACTGTACGCGGCGCACAGCATGATTTGACTGGTTGATTGGACACCTGCCTTATGCCCAGCTGCCACCCAGTCCTGGGCCCACAAGCGGGCCAAATACAAATTCGTCAGGTCGTTGGTAGTGAGTCGCGCGGGCTGTCGGAGTCCCCGCTCGCTTCCGCCTCACCCCTACGCTGCAAATCGCGCGGCAGCCCGCGAGGGACAGGTGGGTTGGAATGCTGCAGCATGAGCCGCGACTCGCAGTTCATGGGTCCCGGACAGAGCCAGCCGGGGAGGCCGGCCCAACCGATGGGCCCACAGTCAAGGGGCCAAGGGGCTCCCCATCCTGCCGCAATGCCACGCGAATTGTGCGCCGTGGCCCCATCGTTGCGAATGCCATTATACGCTGGCGGGCGCAGGCGGTGATCAGTGTTCGACAGGACCGCTGTCCAGGCTCCCACGCCAGCGACGACAACGCCGGAACCATCCGCCCACAGTTCTCCCATGTGAGAAAAATCGCTACTTTGACCGTGCGCACGGACGCACGTGTGCCCGTACGCGCCGCAGCGGTTTTCGCTATGGCTTTTACGCGGTGCTGTGGGGTTGCGGGGCGGGGGCTGTCCAAGATAGCGTCCCACAGGGGTGTCGCGGAGGATGATGATTCCGGTTCGCCGAATGCCTTCAAGAAGTGGTGCGCTCGCTGCGCATGGATCACGATGGCCTCAAGGAGGACAGAACTTGACGGTGAGGGAGGCCGCCTCCCTCAAATTTGTTTCATCGCCACAGGCCTCGCGTGCACACCCCGTCGAGCGGTGCCCGGGTGGTGAGCTCATCTCATCCCATTGCGATGATGACGAATGCTGCCGCGCGGCCGCCGCGAGGGCGCCGAAGCGTCGGCACGGCGGGACGTCCCACTGCGGCCCCGTTGCTGGTTGTCGCCTTGCTGTGTCTACTGAGCGCCGCTGCGCGGGCCTCCTCAGCAGCGAGGTGGGTGGCGAGCGTTAGTCCAACGCAGGCTGGCGCGCCCAGCAGGGTGATTTCGAGGCCCTGTCTCGTCGTGCCCGTGTTTGCCAAGTTGTTGGCCGCCAAGCCGTCATGTGCTGGGATTCTCATGGCCTGATATTTTCGATTGGACCGGCCGCGGTGTTTGCTTCTTTCGGCGCTCTTCCATCGACCTCGATTAACTAAACAAGGGCGGCAGCGTTGGGCTCCGACGGCTCAATGGCTCCAAAGATATTCCCAAGACACGCATTCCCGGAATGCGTGCGGTTGGGCCCACGCACCCGCGACCTGCACGTCACGAGATGGGCGTGCTGCGGATGCGGAAAGATGTGAATGGCGACGCCTAAGGTCCCTAACACTGCAGAGCACTTCGTGAATGTCACAGCCAAGCGTGTTAAGTGTGTGTACTGTGGCGCTATTGTGACGGGTGGCGATGAACGCCGTTGTTGCCACCTGGTCAACATCACCGGATCTGGGGTGGCCGAGTGCTGTGGGAATCCGCAGGACGCTGTCTAAACTCCCAGGGGATTATACGCTTGCGAGACCAGCGCCATGAAAAGAAACGGCGCAACGAAACTTCGAATGTGGGCAGCAGCATCATGCCGTATGCCAAGCGACATGGGTGCTGACTTATTGAATATGCATGTCATTGAGGCTGTGAGATCAATTGGCGCCCTGACGCTGTTGGGTGGCTTGAAGATGAGAAGTTGTTGAATGACATAGTTGCTGTTGTAGAAGCAGTGAGTGAGGATCCCATGGATGGGTTGGGCATGGATGGTGAATGACTGGCTTTCCATGCCATTGAGGTTGTAACTGTACGAAAATTTCCCTTATTTTTGGACGTGTTTCTGAGACAAAAATTGAAATACTTGATAATACGCGAGGTTTATCGTATTGTTATTTCAAGCCGTATCCGTATTTCCCAAGCCGGCTTGTGGACGTAAAGAGGAACAATGGCGAACCACGTGAACCTCAGAATTCCTGACGGAAACAACCTGGATCAATTACAACAATTGCCATACACAATTTATGGGACATCGGGGATCGATTAACTGGCCAACAGGTGCCGCTACGATGTTCCCTCCCCGCCTGCATCGTGCTGTACAATGGTCGCACCACGTTGACGGTGTGGAATCATGCATCGGCAGATTGGAAGCAACTGGCAGCGGGGTGCCGGTGACGACGCGACGGTCCATCCCTGTCGTCAACCGCGCGGCTCCGATATCGCACTGTCGCGTCTCGACGCAGAGCACTGATGCGCATGGGAAGGAATGCCGAGGCGCAATCGCCCTGAGCTACGGGGACATGACGTGGGAAGCTATCATCGGCTGCGGGACTCGCACGTTGCTGGGAGGCTGCGCAGCGACACGATAAATCGCTGCAGCGCAAACTGGGGGCTGCCGCGGAGGAAAGGAGTTCGGGCGCCGGTGCTGGGCACCGCGTGCGGTGGAGAGGGAGTGGCCAAAGGCCAAGACCTGCCGCAGGTGATCCAGACGGAGAAGCGTCCCCTTTCCTTTCAAAAGGAATAGGCAAGGTGCCCGCTGACCTGACGCTCATGCCCCGCCAGCGGGCGGGGAGAGCCCTGTGCCTTGCGTTCGAGAATTCCACTGCTTGTTGGATATTGGCTGAAGGCGATCGGGTGAATCGTCTCCGTGCTGGTGGTTGTGCGGTTTGCGTTGATGGTCGATCGGCGGCACGTGCTGGACTCTGCTCAGTTTCGAGCAGGGGACCCACCGCGCTTGCCGAATCCGTCTCCTCTTGCGGCGAGGTGCCGCCGCCTGCAAACGCGTTCATGGAGACAAGCTGTGCCGGCGTCGGAGGGCGGCGGCGTTGGACTTAAGTCCTTGTTCCGGAAAGATACCTGGCGCCTGTCCGCCCCCCCAAGCGTGTTCGATGCCTGTTGCCGCCTGGAGCGGCGCTGTCTCCTTTTAAAACGGAAATTTCCCGTCTTGCCAATCTGCCTGGGATCATGCATGATGCACCTCTCATGCGGTCGCATACCTCGCGCTGCGCTGCATGAGAACGCCGTTCTGATACCCGCCGAGACCTACCGAGTCGATGGATGCAGTGAAGCTCCACGGCGCCTCCAATTCTGGCTCCAGAGTTTTCCGCCTTCCCTCTCCCCTGCTCCCTGCTCCCACTCCTCCCTCACCCCGGTGTTTCGCTTCCCAAGGTTGTCAACATGCGACCTTCGGCGCCCGTCATCTGCCTGGCGCTCCTCTGCCTGGGGCGCTCATCTCTCGCCATCGACCCCTCCTGGTACAACGCCGCCACCACCTTCAGCGGCATCGCCACCTTCTACGGCCTGGGCTCTCACAGTGGCGGCCACTGCGTCCTGCGCAACCCCTTCCCCGCCTACTACGACAACCTGACGCCGCTGGCCATCAACGCGCCCATGTACGACGGCTCCGTGACCTGCGGCATGTGCATGCGGGTGTGGGGCGAGGGTGTTGGCATTGGGACGACGCCCGTCATCGGCCCCTTCATGGCCTACGTGGCAGATGAATGCCCGGAGTGCCATTACGGCGACCTAGATTTGGCGGCGGACGGCGACGGCAGGTGATGATCATGGGATTCCGTTAATTGCGTGTCTTATGATGAAATTCGGTTAATTGCGTGCCACCGAAGGCCATGTCGCCACCCACCCACCCACACACACACACACACACACACACACACACAACGGCAGAAAGCACCATTGGCGCGATGCCATTTTGACCTTGAAAGCTGCAAGAAAAGGACCAAATAACACTTTTTCGAACACATAAGAAATCCATTTCATCAACGCTTGCACGTTAAGAAAACAAAAAAATGACCCAGACCAGTAACATTGCACACATTTGAACACGTGTTATTTGGATTTTCTTCTGCTAGTGTGAATGCGCCATCGCAATGATTGCGATGGCATAAAAGGGGCTGCGATGGCAGCGATTAAGGTAAAATGGCACCGCAATTGACTTTGCCAAGGTTTAATTTCCTTGTGGCGACAAAGAACAGTATGCCCATTGTTTATCCCGGTGTTCGTCATGCCGCGGCAGGTGGGAGATCCAGTGGGAAGCGGTGCCGTGCCCGGACGGTCCCATCACTTTCTACTTCGAGGGAAGCAACCCCTTCTTCCTCAAGGTGCAGCCGCGGGGCATGAAGACGCCCGCGACGCGCGTGACAGTGGGCGGGCAGGCAGGAGTGAGGACGCCGGACAACTTCTTCGAGGTGCGCAACGGGGCAGGCTTCAGCTTCCCGGTGGAAATCACGGTGGAGACGGTGCTGGGGTGCGAGTACAGAGCCCAGCTGGGCGGCTTTGGCAACAACGGCTTCGGGGAGGAGCGACCTGAGGGCCTGTTGAACTATGTCTGCAACGGACCGGGAGGAGGGGATCTGTCTCCACCGGAGCAGGTGGTCCTACCAGAGCCGTTTCAGGAGGTGCAACAGGGCCTAACGTCGACGGGAGACCAGGGTGGATGCTCCGGCTTGTATGGACAGTGCGGCGGGATCAATTATAGCGGGGCGACCTGTTGCAGCGAGGGAGGGTGCACAGAGCTCAATGCATACTACTCGCAGTGCCTGTAGGGGAGAAAAAAGTGCGGCAAGTGACAAAAGCTTCCAGAAACCAGAGGCCGCAGGCACCGATTGCGCAACGCTTGCCGAAGGGTGGGACATCCCAAGCGGACCTGTTGTGTTGAGATGGTCCACGCCTGTGGAGCCAGGCGTCGCGTGGAATAATATGCTGATCCCTGGGGATTTTCACTGGGCGTTGGAGCTGTAGCTCTCACCGCGCATTGGGACCACATTCACATGATAGATGTGGCGGATCGAGCCGGGAATGAGTGATGGAGAGCTAAAAAATGCATTTGAAAATAGCACCGTGGCTCTGAGGTTACAGTTCGAAGCTTCTGGCATTTGTAGTACAGGCGCTGGTGTGTTGTTAACTATTGTGCTGCACGAGGAATTTGGCGTATTCCAAAACGAATTGTGGACATTGGGCACGCTTCGATACTGTTTTCCACGCTGCATCGATTTAACTTATCCAAAACTGTGCAATAAGAGAAAATTGTATTCCATAAAATCACCACATCATTGCAGTTTTCTCAGAAAATAAAACATTACCTAAAACATATGATCGACCTTGAAAACACGGGAATACAACGTGAAAAAGCTTATGAGCTAACGAACCAATATCTTAAGAATAAGATCGAACAATGTCCAGAGGCCCTGGAAGATGCTGCCGCGAGAGTTTTCCACAGCACCCGAAGCCAAACGCGAAAATATCTAACATAGAGGGACTTGGGGTTCCAGCCTCGGCAACCACACCTTCCATCTTATTGTTTGGAGGGGTTGAAAGCGTTTTGAACGGACGTGTTCTTCACACCAGGCAGTCCCTTAATTGGAGAGCCATGCCCAACGCGCAGCTTTTGGCACCAACATCTATTCCGCAAATGGTCCTGGGTCACCAGGAGGCATTTTGGCACCGGCTGGTCCAGAAAACACCGATGGCAGGATGCACGCCAATGCACATTTCTGCCCGTTGTTCATTGCGAGGGATTTCATTCTTTGAGCTGGAGAGTGCTGCAGGGGCTGCTGGTGACCGCGGCCAGCCCAGCCAAACTGCCCGGAGGCCGCAGCGTCGAACTTTTACCCAAGATAACATTCCGAAATCTTCGCAGGCAAACTCCAGCTCGCGCCCATATGTGAACCCCGTCGGCAGTGGGCTTGCAAAGCACAGCTGGCTTCCGAACGCCCCTCATTTGACCTCTACTGTGAGAAGCGTGCTCATGATGGTAGTCGCGCTGGTGGGGTGGGGGTGTTGGGGTTGGGCGTCACTAATTAAGAAATCGGCCTGATTCCAATCGTGTAATGATCACATGGCTGCCCCCGGCACATGGTTGAAATGGTGCAAAATCGTGCTCTTTATCGCGTTGTCCATGGTGGTAAGGTGAGCCACTTTCGTGTACTACATAGGGATGAAAAGTACACGATTTTGGCAATCGTGTATAATCGTGCTCCAAAATGCCCGAGCTTTACACGATTTTAACAATACTCACACCACTGCACACCGCGTCAAGTGGTCGATTTTTAACCAGTGGGCCATGCTGCAGGCCTGCACCAGCCCCGACGAGAGGAACTCCTGCAAGTTGCAGGCTGCAACGACACGGCGATGCACTGGGACGCCGCTCTGGTCGGGGCCGACAGCGCAGGCGTCGCCCAGGTGCCTCTGCGGCGGGGGTAGTTCGTGGACCCGAGGGGGCGACGGCCCTTCACGTGGCGGCTGAATTTGGAAATGCGGCAGGGGTGAAGGCCCTGTTGGAGGCTGGGGCAGACCCGCCGCTGGAGAGCGATCATGAAGACACGGCCGAGGCTGTGGCGTGCCTGTGGTGTGGCTGTGCCTGTGTCTGTTTGCCTGTGCGCGATGTCCAAAGTGCGCTCCTGTTGCCCCAAGGCTTGTGCTGGGGGAGACGCCAGGAATGAGATCGAGCTGTTTCTGACGGGCCGATGTAGTCTGACAGGAATGCTATGGATTGCAGTGCGGGCATCAGTGGTGTGGCTTTTGTTGATTGAGAGCTGTATAGAGTCACATGTGGCGGTGTGTGTGCCCTCAGAACTTGCTGTCTCTCAGCGATAGCACATTTGACCTGGTCTCAACTGAACCTTGTGCACCGCGTTGGTGGCTTCTTCTTTTCCCTTCATCACAGCTGCTCGATTTGCATCAATCCCATCACGGTGCAATTGCAGCTCGTCAATTATCTGCCACAATTCTTCAGCCTCCTGTTTTCTCCAGCCTTCCGATAACGATTCTACCCTGTGCACTGGTGCTTCCACCGCATGTATTCACTTTGGTGCATATCCCATCAATGTTCGAAAGTAGAGCAATTCATTGACTCAACGATCCGAGAGTTTGCAGCCAGAACTGCGTGCCCCAACTCACGTATCCACAGTTCGCTCTGTCTATTAGTTAGCCTGCTCAAGCTATCTAACAATTCACGGTTCGTGAGCTCAACCAGTCCGTTGCTTTTTAGGCGTGTAGGCTGGTGAACAAACCCATGCTATCCCTCGATCATGTGCCATCTGCCGATGATGTTGCTCTTTGAATGCCATTCCCCTGTCAGAAAGGCAGATTCTGGGGATGGCAAATCGGGCGCAAATTGCACTCAGCATGATCAACACGTGGTGGTGATCCGCAGCTGCAACTGGTGTTACTTCACACCACCGCGTTGCATAGCTTACAATGTCTAGCAAATACCGGTAATCACCCACTAGTGTGAACGGGCCCAGAAAGTCCCATGCAATAATGCCAAACGGCTCCAATACCAAACGTGTTTCTCATTTCGCTTGGCTTATATTTGGGCCGTATTTCTGACAGGCTTCACAGGATTTGACGTTGCCACTGACGTCTCTTGGCATAGTAGGCCACCAGTACGTCCTCATCAGTTGCGTCAGAGTCATGCGTGCACCATAGTGGCCCGCACCATCATGAACGGCACTGAGAACACGTTTTCTGTCCTCCTGACATACCACAAGTTGCGGATCGCCCACAGAATTCTTGTGGTGTAGCTTCCCATGCATAACCGCAAAACGGTCAGCCCGTCGCTTGATGAATTTCTGGTCCTTTTTTGGTACTCTGGTCGAAAATCTCCAGTTGCGATGTACTTCTGCATGTCATCATACTATTCGTCACTGCCAGGCACCACAATCATCACATACAAATCTTCATCTATTGCATCTTCCTCCACCTGAATCATGGGCAATCTTGAGAGAGCATCAGCGTTCCTGTTCAGTTTCCCAGGCCGGTACACGATCTCAAAGTCGTATTCCGCAAGAATCGTGCACCATCGTCCGACCCTTGACGACGCCATTTCGGGAAGCTTCAACAATCCTTTCAGGGGAGCGTGTTCTGTGCAGACAGTGATACGTCGCCCCAGAAGGTAATGTCTCAGCTTCTTGAAAGCCGCAACCACAGCCATCAGCTCTTTTTCTGTCACGCCATAATTTTTCTCTCCCCTTGTCAGCGCTTGCTGAAGTAGTATGCGGATTGAGGTAACCCGTCTGATATCAGCTGGTTGAGCTCCGCTCCCAAACACGTATCTGATGCATCAGTATGCAACAGAAAATCCTTGTCAAAGCGTGGTACAGTCATCACTGGAAATGTCATTAGTGCTTGGCGTTGCACGGGACCCCCATTGAAATCCGTATCCGTTGTGCATCAATACACGCAAAGACTGTGCGCTTTTGCAAAGCCTTTAATAAACCTCCTGTAGCAGTTCAGAAACCCAAGAAATCTCTGGACACTCAAGGTGTTGCGAGGCTTCTCCCATGTATTGGTCTTTTCGATCTTTCCTGCCTCATTTTCGAGACCCTTTGCTCTGACCAAATGGCCAAGGAGTATGATGGAACTCTGCAGAAAACTGCATGTTTTCGGATTCAAACTCATCCCTGCCCTTTCTTAGCGTTGAAACACTTCTCAACGTGCTCATGTGATCCTCAAAACTGTCTGAGACAACCCCACAATCGTCAAAAAACACTTCCACTTCAGTCCCAATGAGTGGACCAAAAGTTCTCTGTTTGAGTAGGGCATAAACGGGGGCGCATTGATGATACCGAACGACATAACTGTGTAGCGGAACTTGCCAAACGGCGCAATAAACGCCGTATAATCACCAGCACGTGGTGTAAGTTCCACCACATAATAGCCACTGAAACCATCGAGCACTGAGTAGTATTTTCCTCCAGCCAGCCTATCCACACACGCCTCGGCATTGGGTATTGGCCACTGAATTGGAACAGTTGCCTCATTTAGTCGACAGTAGCTGTGGCACATTCAATATTCGCCAGACCTCTTCTAGGGGAAAATCTCCCCTGCGCCCCATGGAGCATAATAATCCTCTATCATTTTCGCTGCTAATAACTCAGCGCAGCGAGTTCTAGCAAAGGCCTCGATTTCTGGTGGCCAACGTTGACTCTTTCTTGTGCACATGGGCTCGGTCCCAAGCTGTAGCTCAATGTCACATTGCACCAGATTTGTTCGGCCTAATTCGCTCAATTCATGAGCAAACAGGTCTCCGTAGCGACACACTAAAGTGTCGAATACTGATCGCTGCTCAGGTGTTGCTGCGCCACCAACATTCAAGGTGTCGACATTATCCACTATGACGTGGAAACAATCAACAACCGGTGACCTGCAATAAATTGCATCAACTGCCACTGGTGGTACAACACGACCTCCCTTGCGAACATCCCACAGGAGCCCCATACTCTCAGAATTCATCCCGCCGGTTCTTTTGGAGTCATCAGCTGGTGCATTGCTCTCAATTCCTTCTCCACAAACATCATCCAAGGCGATGCTCAATGTAGTCTCTTCGAACAGAGCAGCCAACACAGCCTTGTGGACAGCAGTCACTGGAAACGGTTGCCTCTTGATTGTTTGTCCGCTTGGTGTTCTGGCTGACATCTTTTGCATCTGCTTCCATTTCTGGTAGGGAACTGTCATGAACCAGCCCAAAGTCACCATTTGACTCAGAAAGCGTATTTTTTTCCTCGGGTTCATCTTGCACGGGCAGCATATCGGTCAGCACATGTCGTTCATCAGAATCGACTTCACAAGCCACCAACACCAGATATCCTTCCGTTGCTTCTTCCTTCAGCTCTTCTGATTCTGCCTCTTCTTCGGTCGCTTCGCTTTCTGATTCATAATCATCGCAGTCATCAGACTCACTGGTCGTCACTGAAGTATCACCGCGATTGGTCTCGTCTCATGAGCAATGCAATCAAGCAGCCCACGAACACGCTCAGAGTCGGTGAGCTGTGCCAGCACCTCCACCAATGGCAAGAAGCTGCCCGAGGGCGCCGAGGCCTCGGCGCTCTGAATAAAATGTGAATCTGTACCCCAGAATGACACCACTTGATTAAGCCTCAACCATAGTTTATCAAGAAGTGCTGGGTATCCTGCGTTGGTGTGCATCAGATGGAACAAAACATCTGTTGTGACACCAGCCGCATCAACATGAGTTTTGCCGTAGCCAAGCAAAGGTCGCCGTCCACCATCTGCCATATGCACCACAGCACCACTGGGACCGAAAACACGCAATCCACATGTTTTGGCTACATCTGGTTCCATCAAATTCAGCATTGCCCCAGTGTTAGTGATAACCCCTTGGCAGGCTTGATCAGCAATGTGGCAGTCAATTCTGATTGCCTTTTCGGTTGTCAACTTGTTGGCCTCAGCTGTCATCACTTCTGGTGCTCTTGTGACTGGTTGTGTACCTGCGGCTGGTTGTGCACTGCTCATAACTTGTGGCTGTGAGCTGCCTTTCACATCCATAGCTTCTCCTTTTGGTTTTGCTTTCTTTGGCCTATCCAAGGCAATCCCAGTGCACAATTCACGTCGCACTGTTGGGGATACTTGGAGCAGCTGTCCCAACAAAATTGAAACTGGTAGATTAAACAAAGCTTCTGATACTTGGAACTTGGGTAACCCAAGTTGGGTTTTTCCCGGCCACCCACAATTTCTGTCAATGGACTACGCTTCTTTCGTTCACCCACACGCTTGACACGAACTCTTTTCTTGCTTGGTTCTTTTTTATCCTCCTCAGTTGCTTCTTCACCAGCAAATGCTTCCAGTTCCATTGTCATAGCATCATGGCTTCCCTCATCATTCACACGACGACTTGACGATTGTCGCTGATGGCTTTGAGATGGGTCATTAGGACCTTGATTGTCCTCAGCTCGGACCTCTTATCTTGTTTCGCACCCGGCCCTCCCAACCTAAAAGGTGGATTTCGGTAGAGGGAGAAAAAGGGATGGTGTGGAAGGAAGTACTGGATTAGGGTGCTGACTCAGGGCTGAGTCACAATAGAAAAGTGGCGTGAAGTATGTGCGAAGCGAAAGGGCAAACTGTTAAGTACGGGGACCTCGGATATGTAAGGAGACAGTGACGGACACCTTTTTATAAGTTTGCAAATATCTTGTCGTGTTGGGAACATGACCAGGTGAATTCAGGAGACGGATCAGGTGGAAATCAAGTTCATATGGCCCTCGCACTTCAGGCGGCTAGCACAACATGTGCATGAGCGCCCTGCGTCCCACGTGCGACATTGCGACCGGGGAGCATGGTGGCTGAAGTCGTCGATTGATCATCACGTTGTCGCAGGTACCGCACTCGCAGTCGCCTCAAGTCTTGCGATGCACAGTGCCACACCGCCGTGGTGCAACGTGCACACTGCATCATGCATCAACCCACTACAATTGCTGCAAATCTGGCCATTATCTTCCTCAGAAACATGTTGAAAGCTGTGCCGTGCTGTCAAGCAAAGTTGTTGAGTCATCCTGGCTTTTCGCTAGGGGGTTAAGATTTGTTGCAAAGAGGGAAAGAGAGAAAGAAGCATGTCATACAAAGGGCACCCCCACCTAAGCAAAGGGGCCGGGGCCGGGTCGGAGCTCAGCGCCAAAAACTTGACTTTAGGAAGCTTGCCAGGGGCGGCTCCATTCATTCGTTGGTGCCAGTTTGGGGGTGCTTTGGGGGCGACGGTCGCCTCTGTTCCACAAACGAAACACTGGCATTGCGCTTGCAAGGCGATGCCAAACACTCCGACGCCCGCATTGCCAATGAGCGCCCGCCATTGCCTTGCAAGGGCAGGAAACGAGCGGAAGCCACAGCCATCCAGATTTGGGGGCCACCGTTGCCAAACGGATCGGCAAATGGTTCCTAACTACAGCACCCTCGCCCGAGTATGCTGCCCAATCGCCGCCGCATTCCACTGAGAAAATTTATGGAGCACTTCACAATCACCCAATGCAAACAAGACGAATGCAAGCTGCAGCGAGACTGGCAAAGTGCTGCCACACTCGCCACGATCAAGAATCCCTCCCATCTTCCAGTTCAAAATTTCTAGGCCACAGTGTTTTCCCCCACAAGCCAAAACTGCATCCCTCGGCCTTTTCGCGCCCCCACAGAGATGGCACTTTTTGAGGTCTACAACCCCCACAAGCAGGTCATTGTGTAGGGCCCCGCCCCCAGTGCTTAAGCAGCTGTCAGCCCCATCAGGCGATGTACTTGAGAAGCACGCCGTTGTTTCCAAGGACGAAGCCGTTCTTGCCATTCTTGAAGTTGATGTCGTACAGGTTGGCTGGGATGTCATCAAAGCTCCGGTCACGCTTCCACGTCTTCCCGCCATCCACCGTCTTGAAGAGGCTGCCGCTGCCGCCGCAGGCATAGCCTTCCTTTTCATTCCTGAACCTGAATCAACACAAATAACGCAATGCCCAAAGTCAAACAACCAAGCCAAAAGATTCTTTGCCACTTGTGCTTGCATCCATGTCGCACTCAAGTTCGAGGGTCTGTCAACATCAACTCGGTGCATGTGGCATATTGCGGGCAGCAATGGGTTGAGTCAACGAGCAAGCGGTGGATCTTCAAAGGGCAAATTGTCACAAGGGGCAAACTGCTCCGCTCACGTGTATCATGGACCAGAGCGCAGCATGAGCAACAGCAGGGCCGCCTGACCAATGCGCCTGTCCATTTCTCTTGCACATCACGAAACAACAATAGCTGGAAATATTGCAGGGCATATATACGAGTGTCCAGGATAGCAATTCCGCACCATGGAAAATGGTCATCAACATGCACAAATCATGTCTGGCAATTACCACTATTCACATGCAAGCTGAGCCGGAGGGAATCAAACACACAATATGAACAAACTGTAAGTAACTAAGGGTTGATGATCCCTCATTTGCGCCAACACGGCTGCAGAAGGAAACATGCCCTGATACATGAAGAATGCCATTGGATTTCGTTCACAGCAAGCAAATTTAGCTGTGGTTTCATTAGACAACGATGACCCATTTCATTCAATGAACCTTCGAGATGTTGAGGTTTGGACTTCTGCTGGCATGTGACAGAGATATTATGGCGCTCATGCTCAACTTCCACTGAATCAAATTAACAACATCAACAGCAGCACTTGCAAAAGGGAGCAGTGCCCTTCAGTGCCCCTTGCAGGTTCAAGGGTGGTGCATCCTGCGTCCAGTTTAGGGCACAAGGCGTCTGCTGAAAGTTTCAAGCTCTCTAGCATTGGTGGGCATGGCATCTCAAACCCAGATATTTTGTCACTGCGTACCACTGTACTTGCTCAACTGAGTCCAGCTAAAGACTCACAGCACAAACGCGAAGTCAAAATGTGAAATCAAATTGGATTTCCACAATAGTACACTAAAACACGTCCATATCAATCAGAATCTGTTTGTGCTACAACAGTGACAGATTGATGAGACTCCTTGGCACCTAGTTCAAAACGTGCTGAAACGGGACACAATAGTGCACAGTATTATATTCAAGCCTTCTGCGTTTCCGAAACTTGGCGTCCAAGATGTCCGTTCTCTGCATTTGCTCAAATAATGCATCTCCACTGTCCTCATGCAGTAGTGCAACAGCAACCGTGCTTCAGTGCCAGCTTCTATCAGTGCAACACACATACCCAACGTCCAGGATCCCAAAGCCCCTTGCGCCAATCTGTGTCTGCTTGAAGCTCTCAGAGATGCCGGGGTCGCTGGCAACATAAACGTCCCCCCCTCGTGTCGTCAGCCACAGCTTGTTGTCAACCGTCCAGCCCATGTTCTGCACCCGGCGGGCGATAGGACGGTTGTGGGGTGACCAGAATTGGTCCCCTGGGGACCAGGTCATGTAGAAGTTGCCTCGGGAGCTGACAGCCACATAGTCACCTGACTTGCTGCGGTTGATGTTGGCAAAGTAGCCCTCATAATATGAGGCACCGGAGATGCCTGTGAGAAAACGAACACAGCCAGATGAGATGTTGCAACCATGTGTTGCAACAAGTTTGAATCCTCTTGAACAACAAGGTTGGTTTGGGCAATTTTGGGCGTTTCTTTGCAGCAAGAACAATGACTGCAAAACAACTAGCATGCTGGCCCTGACAAACCAGAAATACAGAAGCATAAGAGTGGATCAAGGGATGTTTGCACAATTACAAGCAAGGGAAAGTTGAACAAAGAGGGTTCATTAAAATGTGGGACCAAAACAAGTGGAGTCAATGGAAGCAAAATGAAAGCAAGAGGGGCGCTGTAGCACAGCACCAAGGCCCAAGAGGTGGGGCGGGGTTGGTGAGGGATGGGGCTGTTGGAAAACAATACAACACTGCACTGAATCGAAACAAAGATGTGTTTAAATTCTGTTTGCAACTGGCCCCACAAACTGACCAGTTTCACACTGATTCACTTCGCAGTAATGCCAATAATCTCCATGCAAGGACAGTGCTTTGTCATGGTAAACTTGTTGGCAACTGTGGCAATTGGTGAGGATACATGCAGACACCGACCGCTGGACACAGTCCTGTTGAGTGTGGCATCCACCGTCTCTTGCACCGCTGCACGCCACGTGTATGCCCCATCACTTGTGACATAGATTGCACCCTGCACATGCCCACTACATGCTCAACGTTCGATCGCATAGCGACTGGGCGACTCTGTGGCGACATGCATCGATGAATTGCATAGGCACAAAGGCATACTGCCACTCAGCTTACTGCACAAGGGCAAAAACAAGCACAACACTGTTTGTTTGTCATGACTTGTCAAACCTGGCCTAGGAAGATCCTTCCCAACAATCCCATATGGGTGTAACTAGATCTCTTTTCTGAATCTGCATTGACCCGTGTTCACCAAAACATGACATTTCACTGGCCTTGGACATTGTGCAAGGGATGGCGTGAAGAGCTGCTCAAGTGACTTACAGTACCGCAGCAGAGTTCGACATCTGCACTGAATACATGCATCAGGGACAGGACAAATCAACGCTGGCTCATATGCTTGGCAACGTCTGGTCTTTGTCGTCACCACAAAGCACAATGACATCCTTGTACCTTCATGGCATTGATGGTCACTCTTGTGTCCATGTTGCCTGCTTCTGAAATATGTCAGACTGACCAATACAATAAACCCACTCAGACCTATGCACACTGGTTATGTGAACTGTACGTGATCCTGTGAAATACCTACAGATAAAAATAAATACAATAAATAGGGGCAAGTCCAATTGTTTTTTACCCACATTTCAGCAAACGCAGCCAGCGGCAAGTTGATTAAACTGTTCCAAGAAATTGATGGCTGGTTATTTTGGTGCTTTAGGCCCCCTTTAGTGCCGCAACCACAGGAAACAAGGAAACAGTGCATAAACAGCTCAGATGCCAATGGTGCCGTACTCAAGCGATCCAACAGCTGCACTCGGCTGAGTACATTGCTCAGCAAGTCGCAACCCCAGCCCGATTCCCCACCTGGTCTGTGGTCATCTCTGCCTGCCCCTTTGCCCCTGGCAGTGCAGTGATCACAATGGGGGTGCCTGCAGCAGTTGAACAAAGTCAGCGGCACAGGTTGTATGCAGCTTGCTTTGGGCCAGCATCCAACGAGTTGGCTTTCTTGTGGCCCAATAGCATTGGGGTTTCCTTACAGATGTGAAAAGCAAATTAAACTGCCTGCAGACAATACGAGCTGGGTTTACTCTAAGGGCAGCATCTGAGATGCAATGTCTGGACACTGGTATAAAAGATAGTGTTTCGCAGACTCCTATGGCAGTGCATGGGTGCATAAATCCCTGAGCAAAAGCAGCGCAAGCAACTGCATTGCGATGTTGGGGCATATGGCTCCACGGTGTGTCGCCACAGTGCAGTCTCAGTTACGCAATACAGTTGTATTCAGTGCATTCCACGGCAGATGCACCGACTAATGCCTTGTGCAACACAGCACAGGGAGTGCCTAAGTCCGCTTGCAAAACTACACTCTGTTCATTGCATGTCACATGATTAGACCACCACGTTGCGCGCAACAGATGCCACCAAACCTGGAGGTTTGTTACTGAGTCGTTTGTGCACCCATTTTTTACACCTACCAGCAGTGCATAGCAGGTTTGTGCGTTTTAGAGTCACTACACCACTGTCCACTGCACCAAATACACCACAGCATCCACTTACCTGGCAGTTTGCCACTGAGCGGTATGCGTTCCCAGTTTGCGCCCCCATCTGTGGTGTGCAGCAGGATGGCCGGCTTGCCAACGATCCAGCCCTCGTCACCAGCAAAGTCGATGGACGTGAATCTGTAGTTGAATCCCTCGTCCAGGGCTGCCTGGATGTCCCTCTTGGTCCATGTACTACCGCCGTCAGTCGTCTCAAGGAGGGTCTGCCGAGTGCCCAGAAGAAAGCCTGGTGGGGTTTTCCAACAAAGATTTGTTACAGTGAATTGCAAAGGCGGTTCTGGATAGAGAAATTCTATGAAACAGCAGTGGCAGGGCACCTACCGTGGTTTGGGTTGCTTCCTGTGAACCCTATGTCCAACAAGACGATCTCTGGTGAGATTGGGAGTTCCACCTGGCAGGGCAGCCAAGGCAATCTGAGCACAGCACTGGTGCAAACAACAAATCCATACAGGTTTCTTTGAAAGGCAAGGCTGGTAACCAGCAACCTTTCAGCAGAGGACCTTGGAGAAAGTTTGACACACAAGGGAGAGGGACAGAGCCGAACATGGCCATTTGGTCCCGCCAGCAACAAACTTTCTTGTGGCTCATCTCTCAACTTCTCCAAAATGATTTCATCTTCATTCTTTTCTAGAAGAACGGCAAGCAGGAGACGTGAACACTGGGTAGGAGCCTGGCGCCATAAGAACACCTCTTAAGCCCAAAGCGCGCTGTTTGCACATTAGTTCAGACATGTATTCAGCAACACAATTGCTCAGCTATCCATTCCAAGCAAGGCTTCCACTTGGTGGCGATCATCTGATGGGAAACTCAACTACCACCCTGAATTCCAGGGGTTGCTGTATGGACACATCTTGGACAACTGCCTCGAGGGAATATGGGCATTGCTTGTCAAAAGGGAAGTACACTGAGTCACACTTAGCAACAAGAATG